ATGCATGAGCATAATAATTACTTGTAAATACATTTGTATGTCTGTATGTACATACACTAAAAATTTCAATTTGCAAATGAGTTTTTGCAAAATTTGATTATAATGGCGAATTATGTTTGCCACTCAGTGAAAAAAAGAACATTTGTACATTTGTAATAATCATAATTGTTTTGCCGCAGGGTTTTCAAAGTTTTAACTGGAAATGCAAATTGAGTAATGTTCTGTCGGACTAATTGATGGTTCTTCTAAAATGGTTGAATACACATACACACATATATGTTAAAAGAAAGTTTGTCTGCAGCTGCTCTGAAGCTTGATATTTGAAGCTATATAAATAAAAGTTAAAAGAAATTACAGCTTCTGCTATACATCTAAGAAGACGCTGACGTAGGTAGAGGAAATTAACTATAATACAAAGTTTTGAGCAAAATAGAGGAAACAGCATTAAAGGACCTTTGGAAAAAGCTTTAGCATTAAATAATTCGTTTTATTTTATTTTATTATTGCAAAACAGTCTAAAAACCTCAAACTTTGCGAATTTAAAAAGAAAAATTGTAAAAATAAATTATACTACCTGGTCTGGTAGTATTACTGTAGAAAATAAGAAAATAGTTTTCAAGTAAGATTTCTGCAAAAAGAAAAAATAAATGCAATATATATCGGGTTAGCAAGTGCACATCGCTCTGTATGTCAGATAGGTCTAGAAACACATCATATGCGAAAAAAAGTTCAGTCAAGCGTCTGCTCGGTAGTAAATTCGGCTTGACGCGATAGATCTCAAGATTGCTCGATGCTTGCTGTGGTTTGGCCTTGAATTTATTTGGTACAAGGACAAGCAGCCAAAGATCGACCCAATTGAAAAGCAGGCATCAGCGGTTGTAGAACTGGATTCTACATATCCTTAGCTGAAGTTTAGGATTCTTTAGCATTTTCACCATTTGGAACTCTAAGTATATACTAGGGCCTAGGTTTATTGAGTCACTAGCATAGGATATTTCTTCAAGTGAGGCTCAACATTTTTAAGTTTATATTTTTATCTACTTTCTCCACTATCCTGCTTTCATTTGGACATTATCGTTATAATTCGTATAAGATCCTATTGGGTTTGTAACTATTGTATATTCGTGCACTTTGCTAAGCGATAGCGTAACTTAATTATGAATTAATTGTTTCATTATTCCGAATGGAAAGCTTTTGTCCTTGTGCGCCTTTTTCAGTATATGTCATTCTTTTGAGGCGTAAAAATAACAATTTTTTCGCTCTAATATATCGAAAAACGTACTGGGTTGCCAAAAAAAAAATTTGGAAAAGAGAAACTAGAAGCATTACTCGATAAAGATTGTTGCCAAACACAAAAAGAGCACGCAAAGTCTTTGAGAATCACTCATCATCACACAATCAGCCATTTCAAAACCTTTAAAAGCAGACGAATACATTCAACAGCAAAGAATTGTTAGACGATGAAAAACGAGGCAACAATTTTCGATCAAGACAATGCTGAATACCGTTTGTTCCAGTCTAGATCATAAAGAAGCAAAAAATAGTAATTCAAACACCACATAGTGGAAAAATCTACTTCAAAACTGGCCTTCGTTAACTAATAGGTTTGAAAAGGATCACTAACACATAAAATAATGTTTATGTAACAACAAAGCTTCTTAGGTAAGTATAAGTTAGTATGTGTTTGCGACTCCCTCCTATTATTGAATTTCAATAATGGTGGAACGTAACGAAAATCATTATTTCATAAGCGTTAATACACATAATGTCCTCAAATAAGAGCGCCTAGCTGCGATTAAGGCTCATTACAATAAGACCTCGTACATTTATTCGAGTAAATAATGTTAGAATGGATATACTATACAGATATGTATGTCTGCGACAAACTATTCATTTTCATGGCGCCGGTCAGACGCTTCGGACAGTTGTTAAACCCTCCTATTCGACGGAGGCTACAAATAATAGGCGCTTACACGTAGAATACAATGCAAGCCAAGTAGCCGTAAACAAAATAACAACAATTCAGTAGATGACTCATGTTCGTACTAAGCCATTACCTGCCCGAAAATAAGAATGAAACCAGTTTTGCTTGTCGCCACATGCAACAAACAATAGTGGACCCCCATTTTTTACCTCAAACACAACGGCATGCGAGCACATTCACCTATACAATGTTACATTTCTAACTTTGACGGCAACATTTTGCTTTTTAATAACACAATTGGCTCGCTGTTGCCACCTCCGCAGCCGCCCCTGCCGCATACAAAACACGCTGGCAACCACAACAGAGCAAACAACACCCTGGGGCATAATAATAAGCCAACTTTACCTCGGCGTTTTGTGCTTTTATTTTTAGCTTTTTGCTCAGCTTTCATTGCAAGCGCACTTCCTTCTTGCTGTCTCCGTTAGCAGGCATTGCTGTTGTTGCTTTCTTGTTTTTACCTTTTTTTTTGTAGTATAATAATGTTACCAGGTTTTTTGTTGTTGTAGTGAGGTAAATGCTACACCAAGTACGGGCATAGACATGAAACAGGACGCCATTTTATGACACACCGTCGGAGTAGAACAGTTAACAACGAAAAAAAATAAAAACAAGCAAAACTCGGCGAAGGCAGCAAGAAGGCAGCTACAAAGACGTCACGGCAAGCCAACACACGCTCGAAGTCCACAGCAGACCGTTAAGTTTTGACGACGCCTGACTGGTCGGCAGACATAATCAGCATAACAGTAAATATAAACCCCACCTCTGAGACAATACAATTCATTGTACGTGCGGTAATCGTTCGACAATAGCCATTTGCCGCTTTGTTCGTCATTAACGCCGCCCCATTGACACCTCAAATTAATCGACACCACTACAACAACAAATAAACACATGCATTATTAAGTTTCTTCAAAAAGTGCACCCTGCAAATGTGCGTACGTGGCAGGCTTTCCCACACTACCAATTTTATACGCTGCACAGGGTATAACCCTATTAACTTTGCCATACGCGAATTAGTTTCTAAGTATTTGAGATATCGCTCTGACATTTTTCACACGTCCTTTTCCGCACAATAAGCTGTTCACTAGTCGGAAGGGTCGATATCGGACCACTGTAGCTTAGCGAGATCTGACATTTTTTTTATTTGTGAAGCTACGGTGCACCCGTGTTGACGTTTTTTCTGTTTTCCTCTGTTCCTGTGTCAATTAAGTTGTCTGCAATATGACGCAAATGGGACCAGCCAGGTGATAATTCGGTAAGGTACCTAGGTGCAGCTACCATACTAAGCGATTTATTTAATGAGCTTTTAATATACTTAAATATAGAGCTCTAATCTATCACGATTATTATAAGCAGTTGAATCAAAGAAATAAAATTAGTGAAAATATTTCATTATATTTTTGTTGTAACCTAATAAATAGCAGGGGTAAAAAATACGGCACATCATTTCGTGTTGACAAATAATATTTGTGCTGAATTTACTCATAAGGTCACGCAAGGCAGACATTTACGTATAGACGCACATTTTGAAAGTATGTTAAATATTTGAAGTTAGAACGTGACTAATATTTGATAGAAATTCTCTTAGAATGCGCAGAACGCTTTTTAAACCTAAAAATAACCTAGGTGTACCTTAAATGAGCTCTATTTTGGGAAATATGTTTCAAATGGATTGAAACGATTTGAGGATATTTGCAGTTTTATGTCAGTATTGCATACAGATTTTCATATAGCATCACTTTTGTTGGCATATCATTGTATAACATCGGGTTATGTATTCTATACAATTTCCGCGATATTAATTGTTCCCTAAACATTTTATCTCACTTCATATTTACTAGGCATTTCACTGTCAGTTCGATTTTGGAACTTCCAAAATTTCACAATAAGGGTATCCAATAAGGGATATTGAAAAGGAACCATCAAAAGTCGCTTTGAAGCTAGCAAATATTCTAGTTGCTTCATTTAGAAACCCAAAAAAAAATACAAAAAAATAAGGGGAGCAAATTACTTGTCTAAGCATATTAGCGCCGAATTTTTCGGATAAACAAATTCAGGCATGATTTCGATGTTGGTTATTTCTATAAAAGAATTACATCATTTTTATTAACAGATTTCAAGTGTAGCAAGCGTGTAAGCTTTAGCGAGACGTTTTTTCATTCCAGATTCCACTCTGATCAAAAACACACTGCCAAAAACATATTTTTCTTTAAGCGTTATGCGTCGTTTGCGTCAAGCTATTCGCCTGAAACGGTCGGAATTATGGGTGAACCATTTTCTGTTCATTCATCACGATAATACACAATGTCACACTGCATTAGTTTTTCGCGACGTTTTCTTTTGCCAAAACTCGACTCATCTCGTTCTGCAACCACCATATTCGCCTGATTTGGCTTCGTGCCACTTCTGGTAGTTCAGAAAATTTAAAAAGCCAATGTGGGGACACGGTTTTGACATGATTAAGGTAATAATAACAAATAGAAGAAGTTCTTGATGGCTATATCGGAAATGCTCTGTAGAAGTAAGAATACAACACTTAGCACTCTTAGCTAATTCTAAATATTAAAATTTTATGTATATTTTATAGCAAAATAGGCAATACTATTAAAAAACCTATTTGCAGAAGTGGATACTTTCATTTAGTCTCTCTGGGCGCTTTATGCTGTATGATATATAAATTCACCATCGAAAATAGTTTATTTTTCAAAAACGTGGAACTATATAAGGTAATTTTTTTTATTAGGGTCTACGAGTTCTTCAGTATTTGGAAACTCTTTTAAGATCTTCAATTGTTAGAAGTGGCCATTATATATGAATATTTTTCAATATTTTGTTGTATAGTAATTTATGGTCATATTTATGGTTAATAAATACGTTATGTATATATATCATAAGTGTATAAGTTTTGAAAAATAGCTCTGTAATATAAATAAATAAAATATATTGAAGCAATCATTCAAATTTGTATATAATTTTGATTTTAATTACAAAGTAACAATATTTATGGTATACTTACTGATAAATTTCACTTTTTTGGAAAGACGCGGCTGTTTTGAGCGTATTTTATTGTTCTTCTTGATGGGTGCTGATCTCCGCGATACTGTTTCATATGAATTTTTTATTTTATAAATTTAATAATTTTTGTTTTGCGTATTTATTTAATGTTTTCACATATTTTTTATTACATTTTTTGATTAATTTTTTTTATATAGTAACATATTATTATTATTTTTTTTTATTAAACATTTTTTTTTTAATATTTTTATATAGTAATAAATTATATTTTTTTTTTGTAATTTTTTGTATGTAATTTTATGTTTTTTTTTTAATTTTTATAAAAAAAAATTTTATTTTTTATATTTTTTTAAATTTGTTTTTGTGTTTTTTTGTATTTGTTTATATTTTTATATTATTTTATTATTATATATTTTATACAATTTATATATTTATATTTATATATTTATATTTTAAACAAGTTTTTAATTTTATATAGTTTTTTTTTTTTTTGGTTTTTTTTGAAACAGAGTTATCCAAGTGGCAAGCATGTTTTAATTTTGTTTTGGAAAAAAATACAAGAAAAAACAGTATGTTTGCAAATATTTTTAATAAAACGTATGAAAATGGGGTCGTAAGTTCCGCTACAATGCAGAACTTACGGTTCGTATGCAAAAACCATTCGAAGATATATACACGCACATATAGTAGATATACGTATTTGTTTTGGATACATTATAATTACATACATGAATATTAAAAATGGTATTAAAATGGGTCCATTTGCAATAGATCAAACGAAAATCTCCTTTGATATTTGAGATAAAAATATATGGCATAGCAATAAACACCATTTGTCAAACAAAAATGTTAATTCAAATTTACTTGTATATATACGAAATATTTTTCTCAATATTGAGTGCTCTCATAACTGTGTTGACCTACTGAATCTATACTGCTCTCTGTAAGCAGCTCTTTTTCACTTGACTTACCATAATATGCTTGATATTTATCGACCTAAATCTGTAGTTTTATATGTAATTACATGTTCATAGTCATCTAAACCCACCATATATCTATATAAACAGCTACTTGAATAATGCTTTTCATTAACATCAATAAACTAAGTTAAACTGTACTAATTAGAAAACATGTGCTACTTTCAAAACTGTTCACACTTTTAACAGTTTTGCAACAACACACATTAATACAAAAAAAATAAAATGTAAACTAATAAAAACAAAAATAAAGCACAGCATATGAAAATGTAAAATAAAGTTCAAACTCATAGTTCTGACAATTGACGAGAACCGTAGCAACTATTTATGTTATGCCAAGCAAACTGATTGCAAGAGAGTTAGTGCAGAAAGATAATAAAGGAAATAATGAAAATGAAAAACATAAAGCGATTTTTGTACAACAACTTTTTACAAATGTCAATTAAAATCTCTGCTTTCAACTCCGAACAAATAATGATTGCGTTGAAGTGGAAAATTTATTTATTTATATATTTTGTGTGGCTGCTGTTGTTGCTTTCGCTCTACGGGGAGTGAATATCGAATTCACTGCAGAAATGAAAAGCTTATGTTCTTTATCGGACACACTCACATTGCCAGCACTACACTTTAATTGTGTGAGCATATTGCACGGAAGTGAGCTTAATTCTGATGCATTCATTCGATTAACAAACTGAGAGATGAAAACTCAGTTTTCAATCTTTGGTCCTGAGAGCATTTTATTTACAATATGTACATATCTGCAATATATGTACGTTAACTATAAAGGTGACAATAAATTCGGTTGGATATGTTAGTTTTTGAGATAAAATTTAGCTCTACTTCGTCGCTTATTGGCTATGAAACTTTACAATAAAAAGCAAAATTTGGATCAAAAAGTAGTATCGTCCAGTATTCTAAAGTCTATAACATATTCCAGAGACAGAAAAATGGAAACAAAGTAAGAGACTATTGATTGAATGGGTATTTTTGAAAGTAAAAGACTTTGTTTTTCTAGGAACAGTAACAATCTAAGCCTGAAGAGCAAGCGCAGAATACATAACTCTTGCCAACAGCTGCTACTTTGGAATTGGAAGGCAATTGAGAAGCTAAACCCTCTCTCCATGAACAAAAATTACGCTCCATAAGCTTTTTATAGTAGAGGAATCCTAGTATACGGCGCAGAAACATCGAAGATGACGAATCGAGACAAGAAAGTATTCGGAGCATTCGAGAGAACCGTTCTCCGCAAAGTCTTTGGAACCGTCCTCGTGTGCGATGAGTACCGAAGAATATTGAACCATGAACTGTATAAACTCTACGGCGACATGAATATAGTTAAACATATCTTAATCAATGAATGCAATGGTTAGGCCTTGTCGTACGCATGAAAGACGAGGTGCCAGCGAAAACCTCCTACGATTCGAGATCAATGGGTGGACAAAGAAAGCAAGGGCGCGCACGCATGCAACGGTAGGACCAAGTACTGAGGACCAAGTACTGAGACTTGCAAATTAAACTCGCAAAGGTCAGAGGCAACAGGTAAAATTTTGGGTTCTCGGTTCAGACCGACCCAAAGTTTTGTGCCAAAGAAGAAGGAAAACCATTAGTAAATTACAAATATAGTTATTACCGATTTAGGACACAACATTTGGTATAAACCTAAACACGAACTAATGTCTTCAGTTCTCAATGACTATAATCAAGTGCTCAGAGCGAGCTCCCAATATTCAGTAATATTTTCGGGTACCATATAAGAAATGAAAGTAATCAGAACTGATTTATATAAAAATTACTAAGCACTGTTCTAATTGTATAATACCGTTAAGTAGTACTCATTGTTGATTTCATATACTTTTAATCGTATAAAAGTAAGCCGTATCGATGTAAAGTACTCAGTAAGTAAGTATACGGTATTCATGTACAGCATTAATTAAAAACTGAAAGTACTCAGTGCAAACTAAACTTACCCAGCAGTGATTTCAGGCACTTAATTGTATTTAGTAGCAAAATTTGGTACTTGATTTTAAATAACACACCACTGAAAACAACTTAAAAGAAGTGTCTGTTGAATAATTAGTAGCTTTAAGCTCTCAAAAATCTTTATGGAACATTTATCAGTCCCCACCAATTACGAATACATACACACTTTTGCTGGTAAAGGAAAGTATGTACTCGAGTAATTTGTTTATCAGGATTAAAACTTCACTGCCAACGGCATGTGACAACAAAACACAGAATCTCATAAAACTTTTCGTATGGACCGACGTAAGCATTCAACAGCTGCCTCAACGCATTTCAATCCTATCACCGACAAAACAGTCATACAGGTACGCCTCTTTTTTGTACTTTTTCCCGTATTTACATGCTGTATTTATTCTGTGCTATGAAGCAGGAGCTTCGGCACCCGCAATACTTACATAGCAACAGAAACGACAGCATCAATTGTTTTTGCCGCTACAGCTATTAACCAAGAACGTAAAATAAGTTGACGAAAATATGTTGCACGAGTAAAAACGGGAGGGTAAGAGTTGGGAAGAAAGCAAGCACATAAAGAAACTGGGTTTCCACTTTTCTGAGCGCAAACAATGTAGGGGAAATATTTGTTGAAAACAAAAACAAAAAGGCAAGAAACGACTTGTTAGTAAATGAATGAAAGCACCGTCAACAGACAAAAACAAAACATTAATTTCGATTGCTGTAGCGAAATATGTTTTCTTTTTTAGCACTCTATATCTGTGTATATATGCTATTTCATTTACTTAGCAAATGTACCGTGTAACAGTCGACAGCTGTGCTGCGATTTAATTAAAAATATTGCTGATTTTTAGTTGATGTTGTATTGTAGTATACCTTTAGGAGGTAAATATATTTTAACAAAACAACGTGGAACTGGAACTTTTTAGGATACATTTAAAAGCTAAACGCCGTAAAGTCTTTTGTAGCATACCTTTAGGAGCTAATAAAGTTTTTAGCATAACATGTGGCACGGCAGGGTATTTTGTAGCATGCTTTTAGACGATAAACGCTGTATTTTTCACAATTTTTGTAATGCAAACATTTGCTTTTTTTAAAATAGTTTAAAATTAGTTAAAATAAGCACCCACTGCTTATGAATTAATGAATTGAAATTTATTTCTACCTGATATAGCTTTATAGATTTTTGCTCTTTTAATCCCTCAGCTCTTAACGCAGCTTCATCGCTCCATCCCATTCACACGCAGTGTAAACTCATTAAAAATGTGTGCGCTGTGTTTTAAAGTTTTGCAAGTTAGCAGCATACTTTTAGGTGCGTTTACAGCTGACTGCTCGCAAATGTACACGCAGAAGAATATAACAAAGAAGGAAACGGAGTAAACCCAAATATCTCAGCTTGGTGTTCTTCTGCACTTTAAACAACTCATTTCCCTTAAGTTTGGCTCGTTATAAATGCAACATTTTAGTTTAGCAACTTTTTAGTTAATTTGCGTAAGAATGTCTAGAAAAGGTAAAGAAATATGTCACGTGTAGCTGACTCGATGACAGTGAGGAAAAGTGAAGGAAAAGTTCAGCGCAATTAGTGAGCGGTAGATAAAGGTAACTTCAACGTTGCTAATTATGAGAAATGTTTTAATTTTGTAAGAGTTGTAACAGAATTTGTAAGATTTCGGGGAACGAAAAGGACTAAGCATATTAACAATTTATGATAGAAAAGGTAGAATTCGTAAATGTGTTTGGTCAACCGTTTTTGTGCCGCGAGACAAAACTAAGCTCATTTTGTAATTGAAAATAGTCAAAGAAAAATATGAAGCTGCATTTTAAAAACTTCAAAAGGCACGCGGTACTATCAAACACAAGGAGCACACAGACACAGAGTTGTGTCGATGGTCTCGTTATTTCACCAATGATTTCTACGTGGGAATCGTTCTTACGTACATACACAGTATGGCTGCATAAAAAGTCGATTTTTTTAATTGCAAAAAAACTTTTGTAATTAATGTTCTAAAACTTCAAGCATATACTTATACATATTTCAAAAATAATCAGTAAAATGTTTGAAGAAAACAGTATACATATATTTCTCGAGTTACATGCGATCGCCGACGGCGTTAAAAAAAGTTGCATTTCAACG